AATACTTTGAAAAGACCGGATTCAGGATCTGTTTGGTCGAGGAGTGCATAGTCTGCAATGCGATCGCCATCGCTATCAATGGTAACATTGCCTGAAATACCACTGAATGACACGTTCTTCATGCGGGCGACCAGTTGTCTGCCATCAATGCGTGCTGGCGGTGACTGGCTATCAGTGGGCTCACTGTCAGTCATATTATGGTAGTCCTGAAGGGCTCGACATAATAGTAAAACCGAATCATGAAAAGAGGCCGTAAAATAGTTGACCTAAAAGTTAAAAGGATTTCCATTAACCAGTTGTTATCCATTAACCGAATGAGTGATCTGTTTGTTTGATGTCAACTAACCATCTCTTCGTTATACGTATAGTTGTAACTCTTCAGTGCTCTTTGTTTCACTTCATCGCTGAAGTTCTTGTAGAAGTCTCCGAGCGGTTGATTAAGACTCACAATCAGCAGTGCCTGATAAGCCTCTTTCAATGTCTGCTTCGTCTCATCGCTCTCTATATGCCATATATTAGACACTCTTTACATCATATCTGCATCACTACTGTATATATACTGTAACTCATCATTTCATTCATCATTTCATTCATCATTTCATTCATCACTTATTCTTTCATTTTTACTAATTATTCAAATGTTTTATAATTAAATTTGCTTTGTTACCTATTACATTTTGTTAACCAAAGCATCTTTAGAAACTATTAAATCATTTGTACATCATTTCATTCATCACTTATTCTTTCATTTTTACTAATTATTCAAATGTTTTATAATTAAATTTGCTTTGTTACCTATTACATTTTGTTAACCAAAGCATCTTTAGAAACTATTAAATCATTACAAAATACTGAGCACAATCTCTATATTTATGTATAACGTAGAATAAGTAGATTATTCAACGATATCAATATAACTATGAAATTTAAGTTTTATATTTAACTTATAATCTTTATATAAATATAAATAATGTTAAAATAGATTTTTATTGAAAGTCTCGTTTATCTCTCAATCTCTGAATTCATAGTTTTTTATTGAATTTGTAAAACAAACAAAATATTCATTAATCCAAAGAATTCATTAATTATTTGGAGATTATATTAAAGAAAATCCTATAATTATTGTTAAAAATGATTTATTATTACAAATTAATAATTTATGAAATATTTCACAAAATGATATAATGGGAGAGAGATTCTTAATTAAATACTATAATATCTAGTATTACGTAAGATTATTTCAATAAATTACAAACTTATAACGTGAATGCGTGGGCGGGTAATGATCACATACCTGAACCACCAGCCCATGAAGTATTGCCAATGGCTTCGCCTTCAATGAGTTCGGTATGAATGAAGGCATACTCTCCCGAGTGAGTGATCTTTCTGTGGTGAGCGATCCTCATCATCGCCCGCACATACCTGAACCACCAGCCCATGAAGTATTGCCAATGGCTTCGCCTTCAATGAGTTCGGTATGAATGAAGGCATACTCTCCCGAGTGAGTGATCTTTCTGTTGTGAGCGATCCTCATCATCGCCCGCACCTCTATCTCCCCTCCAATTATCACTATAACTGTTTCCGATGACAGCAATCATTTCAAACAATTAATTCAAATATGTTTGTTAAATTCACACGGGCACAATAACTAATATATCTGATCTGATAACTCTATAATTGATAGACTTTCTGTAAGACACAACTATCTCTGAATACAATATTTGGTTATGAACTGTAGGTTATTAATCCTATGAATGTATGATAGGTAATTTAAGTTTATGCCTTCAGAGATATGTCTAACAGAAAGCGTATCAATTGCTTTACCAGTAAATGGAAACAGTCTTCAATTATCATTAGTGAGAATATTTTGATAATGGTGATTTGGTAATTATATAAACAATTTGATTGTATATAATACACTGTATTAATAAATAAATGATTACTTCTGGCGCAATGAGTCATGTGATCAATAACTTTGTCCAAATCAGTCAAAATGGTTTTATAGTGATTTGGTAATTATATAAACAATTTGATTGTATATAATACACTGTATTAATAAATAAATGATTACTTCTGGCGCAATGAGTCATGTGATCAATAACTTTGTCCAAATCAGTCAAAATGGTTTTATTGATGTCTCGGACGTACACGTCTTTGCACGTACAGTCGAAACGATCGGAATATTCTGGTTTAGTCAACAAACTAAGCAATTGCTCGGCAAGTGTTTGGTAGTAGACGTCCCCCTGACGGTAGATCAGTCCGAAGTGATACCAATTGAGGTGTGATAGGAAGGCCAGTATAGCCCGGGCCTCATCCCAGAGGTCATATGAGGCCCGAATCAATGTGCTATAAGTGGATCGCTCGCCACTAATCACATCACCTAAACCCGTCAATAAT